CTGGAAGAGAAAACTAATCATGAGGAACCTCTCTTGAATGGTCGTAATATCAATGGATCTTCCACTGTGAGTGGGGCTGGCTATGCTGCCATCTCACAATTCGAAAATGCTGGCATACTGAGTACCCTTTCCTTCTCCTGGGTCAGTCCTTTGCTTTCTGTTGGTCACAGAAAGACTTTAGACCTCAAAGATATTCCACAATTAGCTAGTGATGATAATGTTCATACTGTCTTCCCAATATTCAAAAGTAATCTTGAATCTTATACTAGTGCTAGTTCCAATAGTATAATTACCTCATTTATGTTGGCAAAGGCATTAATCTTCTCTGTCTGGGGACACCTTTTGTTGGCAACTTCTAGTGCACTCTTGTCCACTGTGGCTTCATTTGTTGGCCCCTTTCTCATTGATTACTTTGTTCGATACCTCAGTGGCGATCGGCAATTTGAAAATCAAGGGTACCTTCTGGTTCTGGCGTTCATTCTGTCAAATCTTGTTGAGGGTTTTTGTAATAGGTGTGAGAGTTTCATATTACAACAGGTTCATATCAGACTCAGGGCCTCCCTTGTTTCTGTGATCTACCAAAAGGGTCTTACTCTATCTAGTCGCTCAAGACAATGTCGAACCAGTGGAGAAATCATAAATTACATTAATATTGATGCTCCAAGGGTTAGTTCTTTCAGTTACCACATGCTTCATCTATCATCTGTCCCAGTAAATGTTATTCTGGCCTTGTTAATCTTATATCCTCAAATGGGGCTTGCTTCACTAATCGGCTTAACGGCCACCTTTATTGTAATGTTGATTAATGTTCCCATAGCCAAGCTAGAACAGAATTACACAGAAAAGATTATGGAGTCTAAAGATCGTAGAATGAAGGCTACAACAGAGATCTTGAGGAATATGAGAATTCTCAAGCTTCAAGCTTGGGAAATGAAATTCTTATCCAAAATAATGGAATTGAGGAAAAATGAGATAAGTTGGTTGTGGAAGATTGCTTATGTATCAGCTGCTGCAATTTTTCTCGTCTCCTGTTCATCAATTTTTGTTGCAGTAGTTGCCTTTGGAGCTTGCATACTTTTGAGGATACCATTGGGAACAGGAAAGGTTCTAACAGCACTTGCAACTTTTAGGACATTGCAAAATCCCATTTTTGCTATTCCAAAGACAATCTCAATGTTAGTTCAGACCAAAGTTTCTCTTGATAGAATATCATCATTTCTCTGCCTTGAGGATTTGCAACCAAATGTTGTAGAGAAGCTCCCTCGATGTAGCTCAGAGGTAGCTATTGAAGTTAGCAATGGAAATTTCATGTGGGATCCCTCCTCTAAAACTCCTACTCTGAAAGATCTAAATTTCCAAGTTTTGAAAGGAACGATGGTCGCTGTTTGTGGAACTGTTGGTTCTGGTAAATCAAGCTTGCTGTCTTGCATTCTTGGTGAAGTCACAAGAATTTCTGGAACTGTCAAGTTATGTGGTACAACAGCTTATGTCTCTCAGTCACCCTGGATTCAAAGTGGTAGCATTCGAGACAATATAATTTTTGGAAAGGAAATGGACATAGACAAATATGACAGAGTCCTAGAAGCTTGTTCTTTGAAGAAGGATTTGGAGATCATGCCTAAGGTGACCAGACAGTTATAGGAGAAAGAGGCATAAATCTTAGCGGAGGACAAAAGCAACGCGTACAAATTGCCCGTGCCATATACCATGATGCTGACATTTATATGTTTGATGATCCATTCAGTGCTGTTGATGCCCACACAGGATCTCATCTCTTTAAGGTAATAGCTTAAACTGTAGCTATCTTTCCATATGGTTGTAGTATCAAGTGTTTTTGTTGAATATTTACAAAATATGAAGAATTTCATATATGTACACCTCGATGGTTGTTAATATATTAACGAAACTTTCTTTTGTTAATATCATGATGCTTTGTAAGAAGATATTTGATCTTTAAAAATAATAGCAACATCATTACTACAGGAATGTTTGCTTGGATTTTTATCTTCAAAGACAGTGGTCTATGTCACACACCAGGTGGAGTTTTTACCTTCAGCTGACCTTATCCTGGTGAGTAATGTTGCCATTTCATCTTTATCTCGCATATGTATTCCAGACAGAATAATTCTCTTGTCCAGGTCATAAGAGATGGAAGGATTGTACAAGCAGGCAAGTACAATGAGATAATTAACTCAGGAACAGAGTTCATGGAACTGGTTGGTTCTCATATAGATGCTTTGGCTGCACATAACATGATAAAACATACTTCTAACACTTCAAGTGACACTATTCAAGGTGGTCCTTCTGCCTCAAAGTCTAGTGTACCAGTTCCTCAACAAGCAGAATCGAAGGATCCAGAGAATGGTCCATCAGATGAAGTTAGGCCGAGGGGTCAGCTTGTTCAAGAAGAAGAGAGGGAGAAAGGCAAAGTGGGGTTTCTGATATATTGGAGGTATATTACGATGACATATAAAGGGGCACTTGTTCTGTTAATATTATTTTGTCAAATTCTTTTTCAAGTCCTTCAGATATGTAGCAATTATTGGATGGCTTTGGAGTCTCCTCTGTCAGATGACTTGGAACCTCCTGTAAGTGGCTCAATGCTTATATCTGTATATGTAGCATTGGCTGTTGGGAGCTCTGCTTGTATCCTAATAAGAACCCTCCTTCTTGTAATTGCTGGATACAAGACTGCGACAATGCTATTTGATAAGATGCATGCATGCATTTTTCGTGCACCCATGTCATTCTTTGATTCCACCCCCACTGGGCGTATTTTGAATAGAGTAAGTATTAGTTTTCTTTTAATCATTGAGAATATTCTTTTGATGCTTCTGTCTCTAAAATATGTTTAATGGGGCAGGCTTCAACTGATCAACGTGGAGTAGATACATACATTCCATTCCAAATTGGATCATTTGCATTCTCAATTATAAATCTTCTGGGGATTATTTTAGTCATGTCACAAGTCGCATGGCCAGTTTTGATCATCTTTATTCCTGTGGTTGCAACTTGTATTTGGTATCAGGTATCTATTTTACAAGTTTTTAATGCTACTTCAAGTACAGAACTGAGTAATG